TCCCTCAACTTTGCCAACAGTGTTTGTCAATTTTCTGAAATACTGCCAATGTAGTAAGTGAGAATGGTATATATATAAGTGTAATTTTAATTTGCGTTTATCTGGGTAGACGTGAAGATCAACATCTTTTCACACACTTAACAGCCAGTGTTATATCTACTTTGTGAACTGTCCATTCATGTATTTTGCTATTTTTTCTCGAATTTTAAAATTCTTTCTACATTAGCAATATATGTGAGATATGTGGCAAATATTTCCTGAAGTATGTCATTTGTCTTTGCTTCTAGTGTCAAATTTATCAATCTTTTCTTTTATGTATCTGGATCTTTAGCCAAATTTAGAAAGCCTTTTTCTAGGCCCAGGTTATGGAGGAATTCACTTGTATTCCGGTACACCTGTGGTTTAATTTTTTACATATAGATCTCTGATCATTTGGAATTTTTCTTGTGTATCATACGAGGTATGGTCCCATATCGTATTCTTCTAAATGGGTATCTAGTTGTCCAACATCATTTATTAAAATGTCCACATTTACCGAAGTGGTTTGAGATACCACCTTTACCATACACTAAAACTAACGTCCTTTTCGATTCCACTGGTGTACTTGTCCATTCATCCCAGTACGACACACGGCTTCACTTCGAAGGATTCACAGCGTGTTTTAATGTCTGGTAAGGCTAATACTCTGTTTTAGGTTTTTTCTTTTCAGTATTTTCCTGGATATTCTTTTCCACGTGAACTTCATAAAGAGGTTGTTATTATTCTTTTTTGATTTGTGTCTGTTATATTTATAAAGCAACTCAGGGATAACTAATAACCTGATTCTAATGTAAACGTATTTTTTGAGAAAAATCAAAGAAATTTTAACACAGATTTGGTATTAGATTCTACTAAGCTATCATCATTAATTCCGTTGGATGAGATGGTGGTATTGAGGTTATGTAAGAACCTATCTTTAGTTTTTAGTGAAACATAAAACATTTAGAGATAAAACATCATATTAGGGATTAGCTTTGACATAATACAGTAAAAGAGGGAAAAAGGGAAGGAAGCAAGTGGGTAATATGCTTGTAACTGTTAAGTCTACCTGAAAACTCGTTGCCGTCAAGTTAATTCCCATTCAGTGACCCTACAGGAAAGAACAGAACTGCTCCATATAGAGTTTCCAAGGCTGTAAATCTTTACAGAAGCAGATTACCACATCTTTCTCCCAGCGAATGGCTGGCGGCTGGGAGCACTGACCTATCGGTTAGCAGCCGAATGCTTAACTACTGGGCCACCAGGGCTCCTATGTTTACCTTGACCCCATTAAACAAAAAAAGCCAAAGCTGTTGCCTTGAAGTTGATTCTGATTCATGGCAACCCCATGTGTGTCAGAGTAGAACTGTGCTCCACAGGGTTTTCAATGGCTGATTTTGCAGAAGTAGATCACCAGGACTTTTTTCTGAGTCACCTCTGGGTAGCAGTGAGTGTTTAAACCATCTGCACCACCCAGGGGCCTTAATCCTACTCCTCTGTTAAGATTCAGCTCAAGCTTCCCATCCTTCCATAAATTGTATTATCAAATTATCTGATGCCCCTCCCCACTGAGCCCATTCTTGCTGAAGAATTATCTGTCCTACCACAATGACATTAGATGCAGCTATGTGATTTGCCTGGCCAATGAACAACAGTGGAATTTAGTGTCACTTTCAAACAAGTTTTAGGAGCCACAGTGTGGTTCCATCATTGATCTTTTTGCCCCTCTGCCTTGACAACCCCACGACCCAGAGAGAGGCTGCTCTTTCTGCCTGGATCCCAAAAGCAGTGAGCTGAGTTGCACCTGATCTGTAGCCATGAGACAGGATAAGTGAGAAATGATCATCTGTTGCTATAGTCATTAAATCATTACAGTTGTGTGTTATAAAACTACCTAGCCTACCCATTAAACCCACTGCCATCAAGGTGGTTCCGACTCATAGTAATGCTACAGGACAGAGGAGAACTGCCCCATAGGGTTTCCAAGGAGCACTTGGTGGACTGAAATGGCTGATTTTTTTTGGTTAGTGGTTAGCAGCCTGAGCTCTTAACCACTGACCCACTGGGGCTTAAATATCTCTTCTATGAAGTCTATAAAAATTATTTTAGGGAGAATTAGCCGATTTATTTTTAACAGTGCATTTGAAGAAAAAACATCATACATGAATACATGAAGAAATAGAGAAAAAGAGACTGGTTTAGGAGGAAAAGTATTATCCTAAATTCAGTTAAGTTTGAGAATAAACTTTTCATGTTTTGTAGGCAAGTAGAAATATAAGTGAGCCAGTGAGAGAAAATAGGATGGTCAAAACCATTAAAGTTCACAAGTTCTTTAAGGGTGTGAATATAGACACAGAGAAAGAGTCTATGACACCAAGTCCTACGGACTACTACAGTCTGAAGAAAAAAAAAGAAATTAGAGAAAAACCCGAAAATAGACACAAGAGACTAGAGAAGTCAGAATACTGTGGTGTCAAAGAAGAGAAAGGAAAACATGTCAAGAAATGCAACTGGATCCAGGCTTTCAATGTAGTATTAATTTGAACCAGACAATTTTCCTTTGAACCAATTACACGTATTAACATAGAGAAAAACAATACTATAACCACAGAAAAATAAAAACATAACCTAATTACACTGACTAGCTATGCCCAGGAACCAGGAGACGGAGAGAGAGATCCGTAAGACTGAAGATGGCGGGAAGCAGAAGAAGAGAGACCAGCAAGACACAGCGTGGTGGACATCCGGCCCACGGAGTGAGAAAGCTGAGTGCCTTTGGACAGGAGGCTTGCTGGTGGAGCAGGGTGCCTCCAGGCACTTAGCAGAGCTAGGTTTGCTGACCCAGGTATCCACAGCTGAGCGTCTTTGGGCCCAAGGCTTACTGGTGGAGTGGGGTGCCTTTAGGCACTTATCCCCAGCAGAGCTAAAAGAGCTTTTTAACACTTGCCTGAGCAGGGCAGAGGCTGAGGGCCAGAGTGGCATGACTGCAGGCACAGTGAAAAAGAGGCTGTACGGATAGAAGAAGTGTATCCTGAGCATTCCTGAACCTGAATTGTAACCTGGTACTCCCCTAATTAACCCCACAATGCTAAGGATTCTCTGTGAGTTTTATGTGGTCACTGCCATGAATTATCTAACCCAGCAGAGAAGCACAGAGTGCTGTGGGAGGGACGGCTGGTGTCGGAACTGGTAGAGATGGTGGAGGGACGAGGCATGCCTGACCTCCGCCTCATACGAATCAGCCTTGGGCTGTTGATCTTGATTCTCCTTTGAAGCGAGAGTGGTGAGAAAAGAAACAATGTGCTTTATGAAATCCAAAAGCCAAAAAACGTCTGTTGCAGAAGGCATCTCTCACGACCCTCTCTTTGCAAACTGTGCCCCGACTTCACGGGCCTCCCCACACTTCCCCACACTGGGCACACACATCCCTCCCTAAGGCCTTCGCACCAGCGACAGCTCCCTCCATCTGAAACGCTCTTGCCCACGGGACCTAGAGTTCTGACTCCATCACCACTTTGTCTTTGGTCAGGTTACCTCCTCGCTGATTTCAAATACCAATTTCAAACTTGAGCCAGCCACCCTGTCACACTCGATACCCCTTTCTCCCTCTCTGTTTTTCCTAGTTTCTCACTGTAGCTCGTCATCTTTTAGCACACCGTATTGTAACGTCTCCATCTATGAAGAGTACTGTTTGTTGCCTGTCTCCTTATACGTGAAGGTAAGCCCAGTGAGGGCAGGGATTTCCAACTATTACATTTACTAATGTGTTCTGACTGTCTAGAACATTATCTGGCACATAGCATTTATTTTATTTGGTCCATGGGGTTTTACTGGTT